CGGGTCCAGGTAGAGCAGAGGTGAGATGGGTGCTGGGTGTCGGGGCCGGGGAGCGTGCAGCCCCCTTGCTGCATGCCAGTGTAGCAGCCTCCTTGACGTGCCCAGCCCCGAAGCAGTGCGGGGCGTTCCCCGGGCACGGCGATGGGGCTGAGCCAGGATTGATCCCTCTCTGCACCTTGCAGGAGTGGGCGGACGTGTGTTGCAGGGGCCTCCGAAGCGTCCATGCCTACATCCTGGTCTATGACATCTGTTGCTTTGACAGCTTCGAGTACATCAAAACCATCCGCCAGCAGATCCTGGAAACAAGGTAGGGACTGCTTCGCCGGAGGGTGCATCCCCCCGCGGCTGCCGGCAGGGCAGGACGGCTCTCCCCGGTGCTCCCCTGCTTTTGGCACCAGAGATGAGATATTACAGAAGGGGACAAAGCCCCTTTGCAGGGCTGGAAGCCCAAAAGCAAAAGCAAACCCGGACCCGAGGGCAGGAGAAGGAGCAGGACCCCCGGCAGGTATCCCCTGTGGGCGAGGGCAGCCATCCCTGGGAGAGCTGGCAGAGGGGGGGCCGGCCATGAAGAGGGACAAGGGGACAGGCCAAGAGGAGGTACGTCCCTCTCAGCAAGCCAAAGCCAAGAGCCGATTTGGGACACGTTGGGGTCTGTGGGCTGGTGGGTCGTTGCGCTGGGCCCCATCCCCTTCCGTCCTCCCTCACCACCCCCCTCTGGCCAGGGTCATCGGCACTTCGGAGACGCCCATCATCATCGTGGGCAACAAGCGGGACCTGCAGAGGGGCCGGGTGATCCCGCGCTGGAACGTCTCCAACCTGGTGAAGAAGACGTGGAAGTGCGGCTACATCGAGTGCTCGGCCAAGTACAACTGGCACATCCTGCTGCTCTTCAGCGAGCTCCTCAAGAGCGTGGGCTGCGCCCGCTGCAAGCACGTCCACACCACCATCCGCTTCCAGGGGGCCCTGCGCAGGAACCGATGCACCATCATGTGAGCTCCCCCCTGCCCTGACGGATCCCCCTGTCTCCCCAGCCATGCCCCCACGGCCGCCTGTTCTCGGGGACCGCGGCTCCCCGACGAGCGCTGGCGTCACCGTTCCCTGTGGGGGTGGTGCTGCGGTGGGAGCTGTGCTGGAGGTACCGCAGGGTTTGCTTCCCCCCTGGCGCTGGCACCCTGCGGTGACATTTGGGGACGGTGCGCCTTGGGTGGTGCTGGGCAGGGTGATGGGGCCACTGGCAGGTTGGAGCGGGTGGGTGGCCGGGCTGCCTGGAGGTAGCAAGGGGTGAGGGAGGACCTCAGCTACACGCCCGAGCCCTCCCTGAGCCCCTGGCGCTTGGGGCCAAAGCCATCCCGGGGGCGTTGTATCTCTGCCATGCCTGAAACACCATGTGGCACTGGGGGGGTGGGGGAGATGCCTCAAATAGTGCCCAGGGGTCGGCTGTCAGGTCCATCCTTGCCGGCTCCTGCCCCGGCATCGCAGGGGCAATGTTTGCTGCTGCCTGCTGTCACCTGCCCCCCTGGAAGGAAATTGCCCAGCGCCCGTGTCCTGATGCACTGGGGGTGGCTCCATCCCTGGGGCACGGTGGAGATGGAGTCCCATCTTCCTCCCGGCAGAGCTGGGGTTTGTCCCCTCAGAGGGCAGAGCAGCCTCTGGCAAGAGGGCAGGTCACACGGGCTCTCTTCTGGCTCGGTTGGGTCAGATTTCCAGGTGGAATTTCTGGATGAAAGCAAGAAAGGGGAAAATAAATGAATAAATAAAGCTCCCATCCTGCCCCTTACATCTCCCTGGGGCGCCAGGAGCTGCTTCCCCAGGGCTTCGAGTCCCCCTTCTGCCCCAGTTCAGCCAAGGAAGGCGTCTCCTCCCCCACCAGCCTGTTGAACACCAAATAATCTTAAAACACTCCTCTCCGGGCAGATCATCCCTCTGCTACCTCGCGTCCCAGGCTCAGTGGGTGACCGGCTTTGTGCACCTCCCACCCTTTGGGTCCCCCGGGCCGGCAGTCAGCCCCCCCACATGCCGTCGCACCCCACCAGTGGTGCCATGAGGCGGGTCCCACCCGCACTGGGCTTTCCAGCGGTGATGCTTGACGCTTGCCTCCCCCCACATGAGCCGGCGGCGGTGCGAAGGCAGCCTCCGAAGCAATAGGGAGCTGGAGTTGCATTTCCAGTTGCATTCCTTGGTTTTTTTTCTTAATTCCATGCACATCCCTAATAGGAAAGCGAGCCCCCTCTATTATTTTTTTTTTTTTAATTATTTTTTAATCTTTTGTCTCGTTCTTACACCAGACTTGCAGCTCACCTGCATCTTGTCCTGCAGGGTGGGCAGCAAAGCCCAGACCGCATTAGCAAACAGTGTTGGGGCGTTGTGTTGGCGATGGGTGAGCGAGAGGTCGAGGGGGTTGTGGTTCCTCCTTCTTGGCTGCTCCCTCCCCATGAGACACAGGCAACGCCGTCCTCAACTCCCCCGAGGCAGGATCTGAGGCCGGTCCATCTTCCAGCAGAACCATCTCGGTGATTTCTGGTGTAACCAGGCGGAGCGGCTGGTCCGGCGCCCTCCCGGCGAAAGCCTGCCAGCCCCATCTCCTCCCCCACGGCCAGGTTTCCACCCCACAGAAGCGCCGCTGTGCTCTCGGCAGCACTTTCTATCACGAGTAGGTCCAGCTGAGCTCCGGCACGCTGCATCTCACCCCGCCAGCCCTGCCGAGGCCATGCACTGCCTTGCAGCCCCAATGCTGTCGGGCTGGGGGGAGTGTGTCACCCTGCTCCTCCCTGCCCACACCAGCAACAAAACCCTGATCCTCTTGCTCCAAGAAAATAAAAGGAAAAAAAGTGAAAAGGTGATGGGGGGGGACACGGGTCTGTCGCAGGTGGCTGCGAGAGCCCTGGCCAGGGAAGGGCAGTGGCATTCATCACCATCCCTTGCCTTCAGGGCAAACCCGCCGGCCTCCCCAACCTCATCTCGTCAGGATTTATTAACACGTGTGAGCCCACATGACCCGTCTCTGGCTAGCTTTATCCCTCCAAATTGTTTGAGAAGGAAACGCCTTGGTAAATGCTAATAATAAAGCATTTATAAAGTGCTCCAACATACACATATCAACGACTAAGCCAATACATTGTTTGTTATAACCCTGTAGCCTGCAGTTTATAGCACAATTAGTTACAGGTTTTTATAGCATCTATTTAGTATTTTGGAAAAAAAAAGGTTATAAATATAATTGTTATATTCTATTGTACTTTATAGACAGAAAAAGTTATATTAGTAATAATAACCCTCACTGCTTCGACAGCATTTCCCCGCTCCCGAGAAAAAGAGGGCTACAAAGAGCTACTTTCCCAAGAGCCCAGGAGGGGGTAGGTGGTGGCACCCGCTGGGTGCAGGCAGGGAAAGCGGGGCAGGGAGGTCCGGCGCGTGGCCAGGTCGCGGGGACTGGAGCAGCCGGGAGCGCAGCAGCGGCTACGAGCGACCCGCGCCTCGCCCCTACTCATCCCCTCAGAAGGAAGAAGTCGCGCTC